ACTGGGGAAGACCAGAGACAAGGACACGGGAAGCCATGCCCCGAAGACGGGGCAAGGAGGGGTGGCCTAGACGGTGGTGCCACAGAAGAGTCTCGTGAGACAGGAGGCGACACGAACAGGGGGCAGACTCAGGACCAGACCTGGACGCAGCAGCAAACACCTGACTCGACGCTGCTACCTGACCGGACGCGGGGACAGGAGGAGACTCAGTGGTCAGGGTGTAGAGGCTCGACCCCGGCCGACGCGAGAACGTGGCCAGGTGCCGGCCTGTGCGTGCGTCCGTGCAGTGGGTCACCCGCTGACTCGCAGGAGTGAACTGGTGAACCCCCGCATCCTGTAGGTCTGCACCACTCACCAAGTTCGTCGAGAACGAGGGGAGGTACAGGCCAGACAGGGTGCCCGAGGGGGCAGCCGGACACGGGAGGACAGTGGAGAAGTGAGCGAGGACAGGACCCCCAGAGGGGTCAGCCAGGGAGACAGCAACCGGCCGACCAAGCGGCGTGAGTGTGGTGCGGTCCCGAAAGAAGGAGCGAGAAGCCCCAGAGTCAAGTGTAAAGGTGAGGGAGGCCGAAGTCAACGCGGTACCTGAGAGCGCAGCCTCACCCACACCTGAGGAAGCAGACTCACTAGCACCTAGAGCAGCAGCCACACCTGTACCTGGAGCAGGAGACTCACTAGCACCCAGAGCAGCAGCCTCACCAGTAGCTAGAGCAGCAGGTCCTATACCTAGGTCAGGCGGGACGCACAGGTGACCGGCACGGTCAGCACTAGTAGGCAATGCATACATGGCAGTGAGAATAGCATCATAGTCAAGAGCATATATATCTACCCTCTGCCTAAGCAACTCCACCCAGTCGGGAAGCTCAGCCTCGTCGCCAAACACGGTACGCCAGGCGTCGCTCAGACGGGCGAAGCAGCGGGACGGTGTATGACTACGTGTCCCACAAGGCTGACCAGTCCGAGTACCAGTGCGAATCACGTAAGAGCAGCGAACAGCACTGAGAGACCCTCCACTCTGAGCGTACCACTCACGAAGCTGGCGAGGCGTGAGAGACACGCGAGAGGGTCGCGGGAGCTGCATCTGGCCGCCACCACGAGTAGAAGCAGCAGGAGTGGAAGTAGGAGTAGCGTCGCCACCCCTACAGCCCCAACCAGCGTACCACTCACGCAGCTGCTGGGGCGTGAGGGACTCACGCAGGCGTCGCTGGGGCTGCATCTGGCTCCGCAAGTAGAAGCAGGAGCAGGACTAGCAGCAGGAAGGCAGGCAGCCAGGCAAGCCAAAAGGCAGGCAGGCAGGCAAGCAGGCGACGCGCAGCGTGCTAGCAGGGCAAGAGCTCACCAGTGGTGGGAAGAGTAGGCTCGGCGACTCAGTGGCTCGGCGGCTCGGCGGCTCGGCGGCTCGGGCGACTCGGGCGGCTCGGCGGCAAGGCGGCTCGGCAGCAACTGCAGCTCAGCAGCTCGGTGACTCGGCGGCTTGGCGGCAGGGCGGCTCGGCTGCTGGGCGGCTCGGGTGCAGGGCGGCTCGGCGGTGGGGCGGCTCGGCTGCTGCAGGTGAGCGATGAAGGAGGAGGAGAAGCAGGGGAGGCCACGCACCTGCCACCCCTCTGCTGGCCACGCAAGCGGCCCCCCTCAGGTCGCCTCGACAGGCGACGGGAAAAGGGGGGGTGGGTGGTGGGGGCCGGTAGGTGCAGCGGCGGGGCCAGCAGGTGCAGTTGCGGGGCCGGTAGAAGGGGACGGCAGGAGCCGTCAGGAGGGGACGGCGGGGCCGTCAGGAAGGGACGGCGGGGCCGTCACGAAGGGACGGCGGGGCCGTCAGGAGGCGACCGGGCCGCGACGGGGGCAGGCGGCGGGGCCGCGTAAGGGCCTGGGCGGGGCCGCGACAGAGCCGTCGGCGGGGCCGCGTGAAAGCCGGGGCGGGGCCGCGTAGAAGCCGGGGCGGGGCCGCGCGAGAGCAGGCGGCGGGGCCGCGAAGGAGCCGGGGCGGGGCCGCGTGAGAGCAGGCGGCGGGGCCGCGTAAGGGCCTGGGCGGGGCCGCGACAAAGCCGTCGGCGGGGCCGCGTGAAAGCCGGGGCGGGGCCGCGTAGAAGCCGGGGCGGGGCCGCGCGAGAGCAGGCGGCGGGGCCGCGAAGGAGCCGGGGCGGGGCCGCGTGAGAGCAGGCGGCGGGGCCGCGTAAGGGCCTGGGCGGGGCCGCGACAAAGCCTGCTGCGGGGCCGCGTAAGAGCCGGCGACGGGGCCGCGTAAGGGCCGGCGGCGGGGCCCCGTCAGAGAGGGCGGCGGGGCCGCGTCAGTGAAAGCGGCGGGGCCGCAGGGAAAATGACGACCCGAGGGGTCGCTAAAAAAAATCGCACCTCGGGGGGCGCTTCGGTGGGCCCAAAAAAACGGTCCGTAGAAGGACCCGCTCTATACCATGTGAGAATAAGCGAACAGGAATGAATGAACTAGCAGTGAAATGAGTACAAGTAGGAAACCCTAGAATTGTGTACCCCCTATAGGCTAACCCACTGTAGCCTACACAAGCAGAACATATATGATGTTTGACACCTCAGGCTCAGCACCCCCAGGCTCAGCACCCCCAGGCTCAGCACCCCCAGGCTCAGCACCCCCACGAGTAGCACCGACACGCTCAGCACCCCCCGGCTCAGCACCCCCAGACTCAGCACCCCCAGGCCTAGCACCCCCAGGAGTAGCACCCACACGCTCAGCACCCCCAGCAGTACCAGAGTCACCAGTAACCTCGACAGGCTCGACTGCGTCTACCTGGGAAACACCTGAAGGGGCAGGACCCTGAGGGGGGAGGGGGTCTACCGGGGGGGGACCTGGTACAAGGAAGAGCGGGGGCGGGGGGAGAGTCGGAGTGCGGTAGGGGAAGAGGCGATAGTAGGGGACTGACTCGTCAAACGTGACGTCCTGGGAGGACAAAACACAGCGAGAGGTGGGGTGGTAGAACTGCCACCCAGGCGCGTCAAGGGGGAGCCCCAGGAAGACGCAAGGAGCAGCACGAGGGGACAGCTTGTCCGCAGACAAGTCGCGGTCAAAAGTCCGAGATCCCAAGACACAGAACGCCGACACATCGCCAACCTTCCCCGTTCACAGCAAGGCTGGGGAGGTCTCCGGCCGGGAGACCCTGGGGTGAAGGTTGATCTGATGCGCCGCGTACCTCACCGCAAACGGCCACAGAAAATGGGGGCCAGCCGCATGCATCATAGACGTACGAGCGACGTCCATGACCATGCCAATGCGGCGCTCAGCAATCCCATTTTGCTGCGGAGAGTCCGGAAGCGTGAAGGTCTGACGGATGCCTCGTGCGCGACAGTAGGCTCTCAGAAGGCCAGAGGAAAACTCTCCGCCTCTGTCCGAGTGCAGACGCAGAACAGGAAAGTCCGAGCCGAAGCTCTGCCTGAGCTGGAGACAAGGTGCGCGGATACAGTCGATCAGCACCTCAGTGACATCACCCTTGCTGCGCAAGGGGAAGACTGCGGTGTAACGTGAGTAGTCGTCAACAACGAGCAGGAAGTAGAGCTCGTGACCGTGTCCACGGACGCGGGCTAGGCCCCACACGTCCATGTGAAGCGTCTGCATCGGGGCCTCTGTCGGAGGAAACTGGGAGGAGTGAGGGGCAGCCCGCTGGCGCCCCTCGACACAGGGGACACAGGTAGGGCCAGACCCCTGAGGAAGGGGAGGGAGGGATCGGGGAAGACCAGAAACAAGAAAACGGGAGGCCATGCCTTTGAGCCGAAGCAGAGAGGGGTGACCAAGGCGGTGGTGCCAGAGGAGAGTCTCGTGAGACAGGAGACGACACGAACAGGGGGCAGACTCAGGACCAGACCTAGACGCTGCAGCAAACACTCAACCCAATGCAGCTACCCAACCAGACTCAGCGACTGGAGGAGACGCAGTGGTCAGTGTGTACACGCTCGACCCCGGCTGACGTATAAACGTAGCCAAGTGTCGGCCTGTCCGAGCCTTTGTGCAGTGCGTCACCCGCTGACTCGCAGGAGTGAACTTGTGCACTCCCCCATCCTGTAGGTGAGCACCACTCACCAAGTTCATAGAGAACGAGGGGAGGTAAAGACCAGACAGGGTGCCAGAGGGAGCCGCCGGACATGGGAGGACTGTGGAGAAGTGAGACAGGACAGGACCCCCAGAGGGGTCAGCCAGAGACACCCCAGAGTGTGGTGCGGTCCCGAAAGAAGGAGTGAGAAGCCCCAGAGTCAAGGGTGAAGGTGAGGGAGGCCGAAGCCGACGCAGTACCTGAGAGAGCAGACTCACCAGTACCTGAGGACGCAGACGCACTAGCACCGAGAGTAGCAGCCTCGCAAGCACCTAGGGCACCAGCCTCAGCAGTACCTAGAGCAGCAGTCTCAATGCCCGGATCGGGCGGGAACTATCAGAATCCCAACCACTAGACCATTGGGATAAAAGGGCTTGTTAAGTAGCGGGTCAGTACGCCCATAACCTCCCCAGGCCAACGTGCCTGTAACCCTTCCCTAGGATCAATTGGGGATCTCCAGGGGACCTCTGACACCCCCCCGTACAGAGATGCCCGTGGTGCACACACTGGGATTCGAACCCGAGACCTTTGCTCTGATACCATGTCAGAATCCAAACCACTAGACCATTGGGATAAAAGGGCTTGTTAAGTAGCGGGTCAGTGCGCCCATAACCCCCCCAGGCCAACGTGCCTGTAACCCTTCCCTAGGATCAATCGGGGATCTCCAGTGGACCTCTGATAGGAACACCGGTAATAGTCACCCTCATCATTAATAGTCATAGCATACATGGCAGAAAGAATAGCATCGAAATCAAGATCAAAGATGGCAACTCCCGCCCTAGACAGCTTGCCCCAGCGAGGGATCTCTATGGCCTCAGGGAACTTGTGACGCCACGCGTCCGTCAGGCGGCCAAAGCAGCGCTGGGTGGGGTGCGCACCCTCACACTGCTCACCCGCGCGGTCGCCCGTACGTAGAACGTAGGTGCACGGACCAGTACCCCCACCCCGCTAGCGCGCAGTGTACCACTCACGGAGTTGCTGAGGGGACAGGGTCTCACGACCGCGCTGCTGCTGCTGGTGCGGACCACCACAGGAGCCACTCCTCTGCGTAGACCCGCGACCAGCTCCACCGCCACCTCCGCCGCCTCCGCCGCCTCTGCCGCCTCCACCACCGCCGCCGCCTCCGCCACCACCGCCGCCTCCGCTCCCTCCACCATTGCCGCCGCCTCCGCCTCCACTGCTGCCACTGGTACCCCCATCCCCTCCACCACTCCCGCCACCACCCCCACTCCCTCCGCCGCCTCCACCGCCGCCTCCACCGCCCCCGCCAGCTCCTCCAGCGCCCTTGCCCCCCTTGCCCTTGCCTGTGCGGCGCTTCCCTGAAGGGGCAGACGCAGGACCGACCGACTCAAAACCAACGAGGTCGGCCGCAGCAGCAGATGCAACAGAGGGCAAGAGGGGGGAGGGAGAACACCCCTCAAAGACAGGGGTGCGGGGGTCACCACGAGAGGCTCCTACAGTGACTATTCTCTTCTCCGCCGTTAGGAGGGCCTTCTCGAGGAGGTCAACAGTGTAAGTGGTGGGGCACACTGCGAGGAAGTGGTCCCTAACTACGCGAAGGGAGTCAGGGAGCCGGGTAACTATGTAGTAGAGGGTGATATACATGGGGGGGGGGGGTTCTTGGCGCAGAACTCAGCAGGAAGCGCAGCGCGGTAGCGAGTGTCACTAGTGCAGAGGTGCGTAATGAGGTCAGCGACTGCGGGAAAGGCAGCAAGGTCAGGGAAGAGGTACGGTAGCATGAGACGGCTCAGTGCAGCAGTGGCAGGGGAGGAGTAGCGTGCAACTACAGCGTCATACAAGGTCTTAGCACTCTTGTACTGACTAAAGTGCGCACGCCCGGAGGTAGGGAGGTGGCGACGCACAGCAAGACGTGCAGCAGCGTCGCGCGTGGCCTATTGGGAGCGAACAGTGGCGACAGCATCAGCAGCAGGGGCAGGAGAGGCGCCAGAGGTGAGGTCAAAGAGGGAGAGACTGTCCACCCTATCGCACAAGAACAGCTGCAGGTCATCTATCCAGACGTCAAAGTCAATGGCCCGACCCTCAGCGTCAAAAGCGAGGACACTAGGAGTAGCCATGACAACAGTAGACTAGCAGTGCAAACAGTAGGGTAAGGGCAGTGCAGTGACAGAGGCGCTGTGCTTACAGGACGGCTCGGCGGTGCACGCGGCTTGGCTGTAGGGCGGCTCGGTTGCACGGCGGCTCGGCTGCCAGGCGGCTGGGCGGCTCGGCTGCAGGGCGGCTCGGCGGCTCGGCGGCTCGGATGCTGGGCGACTCGGCTGCAGGGCGGCTCGGCGGCTCGGCTGCATGGCGGCTCGGCTGCTGGGCGGCTCGGCTGCAGGGCGGCTCGGCGGCTCGGCTGCTCGCCTGCTGGGCGGCTCGGCGGCTCGGCTGCCCGGCTGCTCGGCTGCTGGGCGGCTCGGCTGTGCTGCTGCAGGGCGGCGCGGCGGTCGGCTGCTCGGCTGGGTGAGGCGGCTCGAGCGGCTCGGGTGGCGGGCGGCGCTGCAGCAGGCAACGGGGCTGTAGGTAAGGGCGGCGGGGCCGCAAGTGAGGGCGGCGGGGCCACAGGTAAGGGCGGCGGGGCCGCAGGTGAGGGCGGCGAGGCCGCAGTTGAGGGAAGCGGGGCCGCAGGTAATGGCGGGGCCGCCGGTAGGTGGCGGGGCCGCAGGTAATGGCGGGGCCGCAGGCAGGCGACGGGGCCGCAGGTAAGGGCGACGGGGCCGTAGTTGAGGGCGGCGGGGCCGCAGGTAAGGGCGGGGCCGCTGGTAGGTGGCGGGGCCACAGATAAGGGCGGGGCCGCAGGCAGGCGACGGGGCCACAAGTAGGTGGCGGGGCCGCAGGTAGGAGGCGGGGCCACACGTAAGGGCGGCGGGACCGCAGATAGGCGGCTAAGCCGCAGGGTAGGCGCCGAGGCCGCAGAGCGGCGGATCGGGGCCGGGAGAGGGCGGCGCGCGGGCCGCGGGGTAGGCGGCGAGGCCGCATGGCGGCGGGTCGGGGCCAGGAAGGGCGGCGCGCGGGCCAGGAAGGGCGGCGAGCGGGCCAGGAAGGGCGGCGCCGAGTCGCCAGGCGACCTTCCTCCCGAGCCACCCGACCTGCCCTGCCCGGTGAGCACCGCACCGCTGTCACTGCGTGCCCTTCCCCTACTGCTTGCACTGCTCCACTGTTGTCATCATGGCTACACCCAGTGTCCTCGCTTTTGATGCTGAGGGTCGAGCCATTGACTTTGAGGTCTGGCTCGACGACCTGCAGCTGTTTTTACAGTGCGATAGGGCGGACGGTCTGTCTCTCTTTGACCTCACCTCTGGCGCCGTCCCTGCCCTTGCTGCTGATGCTGACGCCACTGTTCGCTCTCAGTGGGCCACGCGCGATGCTGCTGCACGTCTTGCTGTGCGTCGCCACCTGCCTACCGCTGAGCGCGCGCACTTTAGCCACTACAAGAGTGCTCAGACCTTGTACGACGCTGTAGTTGCGCGCTACTCCTCCCCTGCCACTGCTGCACTGAGTCGCCTCATGCTCCCCTTCCTCTTCCCTGACCTTGCCGCCTTTCCCACTGTCGCTGATCTCATCACGCACCTCCGCACTAGTGACACTCGCTACCGCGCTGCGCTTCCTGCTGACTTCTGCGCCAAGAACCCCCCCCCCCCATGTACATCACTCTCTACTTCTTAGTCACTCGCCTCCCTAACTCCCTTCGTGTAGTCCGGGACCACTTCCTCGCGGTCTGTCCCACCACCCTCACAGTCGACAGCCTCGAGAAGGCCCTCCTTGCAGCAGAGAAGAGCATAGTCGCTGTAGGAGCCTCTCGAGGTGACCCCCGCGCCCCCATCTTTGAGGGGTGTTCTCCTTCCCCTCTCCTGCCCTCTGTCGCCTCTGCCGCTGCGGCCGACCTCGTTGGTCTTGAGTCGGTCGGTGCGGCGTCTGCCCCTAGCGGGAGACGCCACTCTGGCAAGGGCAAGGGGGGCAAGGGAGCGGGTGGGGCCAGTGGGGGCGGTGGCGGCGGAGGTGGAGGCGGCGGAGGGAGTGGGGGTGGCGGTGGAGGTGGTAGCGGGGTTGGGGGTGGCGGTGGAGGTGGAGGCGGGGGCGGTGGAGGCGGAGGCGGGGGTGGCGGAGGTGGAGGTGGTCGGAGTGGAGCTTCGCAGTGGAGCGGCACTGGGGGCGGTTAGCGCCAGCAGCAGCAGCAGCGTTCTCGCGACGTCCCCACCCCTCAGCAGCCCCGTGAGTGGTACACGCAGCGTCAGCGCGGTGGGGGTTTTGGTCCCTGCACCTACGTTCTCCGTACTGGCGACCGCGCTGGAGAGCAGTGTGGGGGTACCCACCCCGCCCAGCGCTGCTTTGGCCGCCTGACGGACGCTTGGCGCCAGCAGTTCCCGGAGGCCGCGGAGATCCCCCGCTGGGGAGAGCTGTCTAGGGCTGGTGTAGCTATCTTTGATCTTGATTTTGATGCTATCCTTGCTGCCATGTATGCTGTGACCATTAGTGATGAGGGTGACTGTTACCGGTGTTTCCAGCCCGACCCGGGCATCGGTACTGCTGCTCTAGGTACTGGTGAGACTTCTGCTCTAGGTGCCAGTGCGTCTGTGCTCTCAGGTGCTGGTGAGGCTGCTCTCTCAGGTACTAGTGCGTCTGCGCTCTCAGGTACTGCGTCGGCTTCGGCCTCCCACACCTTCACCTTTGACTCTGGAGCGTCTTGCTCTTTCTTTCGGGACCGCACCACACTCACGCCGCTTAGTCGGCCGGTTGCGGTTTCCCTGGCTGACCCCTCTGGGGGTCCTGTCCTGTCTCGCTTCTCCACAGTCCTCCCGTGTCCGGCGGCTCCCTCTGGCACCCTGTCTAGTCTCTACCTCCCCTCGTTCTCTACGAACTTGGTGAGTGGTGCTGACCTACAGGATGCGGGAGTCCACCATTTCACCCCTGCTCGTCAGCGAGTGACGCACTGCACAGAGGCTAGCACGGGTCGTCACCTGGCTACGTTTACACGTCAGCCAGGGTCGAGCCTGTACACACTGACCACTGCTTCTCCTCCAGTTCCTGAGTCTGGTAGGGTCCCTTCGTCAGGTCAGGTGTTTGCTGCAGCGTCCAGGTCTGGCCCTGAGTCTGCCCCCTGTTCGTGTCGTCGCCTGTCTCACGAGACTCTCCTGTGGCACCACCGCCTTGGTCACCCCTCTCTGCTTCGGCTCAGAGGCATGGCCTCCCGTCTTCTTGTGTCTGGTCTTCCCCGGTCTCTCCCTCCCCTTCCTCAGGGCCCTGGCCCTACCTGTGTCCCCTGTGTCGAGGGGCGCCAGCGTGCTGCCCCTCACTCCTCCCAGTTTCCTCCGACAGAGGCCCCGTTGCAGACGCTTCACATGGACGTGTGGGGCCCTGCCCGCGTCCGTGGACTCGGTCACGAGCGCTACTTCCTGTTGGTGGTTGACGACTACTCCCGTTACACCACAGTCTTCCCCTTGCGCAGCAAGGGTGATGTCACTGAGGTGCTGATCGACTGGATCCGCGCAGCTCGTCACCAGCTCAGGCAGAGCTTTGGCTCGGACTTTCCTGTGTTGCGTCTGCACTCAGACAGAGGCGGAGAGTTCTCCTCTGGCCTTTAGCGTGCTTTCTGTCGTGCGCGAGGCATCCGCCAGACCTTCACGCTTCCGGACTCACCGCAGCAAAATGGGATTGCTGAGCGCCGCATTGGCATGGTCATGGACGTCGCTCGTACATCCATGATGCATGCGGCTGCCCCCCATTTTCTGTGGCCGTTTGCGGTCAGGTACGCGGCGCATCAGATCAACCTCCACCCCAGGGTCTCCAGGCCGGAGACCTCCCCAGCCCTGCCGTGGACGGGGAAGGTTGGCGATGCGTCGGCGTTCCGGGTCTGGGGATCTCGGGCGTTTGTCCGCGACTTGTCTGCGGACAAACTGTCCCCTCGCGCTGCTCCCTGCGTCTTCCTGGGGTTCCCCCCCGACGCCCCTGGGTGGCATTTCTACCACCCCACCTCTCGACGTGTTCTGTCCTCCCAGGACGTCACGTTCGACGAGTCGGTACCCTACTACCGCCTCTTCCCCTACCGCACTCCGTCCCTCCCCCCGCCCCCGCTCTTCTTGGTACCAGGTCCCCCCCCGGTAGACTCCCTCCCCCTTCAGGGTCCTGCCCCTTCAGGTGTGTCCCACGTAGACGCGGTCGAGCCTGTCGAGGTCACTGGTGACTCTGGTGCTGCTGCGGGAGCTGGGCCTGGGGGTGCTGGGACTGGAGGTGCTACGCTTGGGGGTGCTGAGCCTGGGGGTGCTGAGCCTGGGGGTGCTGAGCCTGGGGGTGCCGAGCCTGGGGGTGCTGAGCCTGGGGGTGCTGAGCCTGGGGGTGCTGAGGCTGGGGGTGCTCTGCCTGGAGGTGCTTTGCCTGAGGGCGCTGTGCCTGGAGGTTCTCCGCCTGGAGGTGCTTCGTCTCGCCGAGAGCCACTCTCCCCATAGGAGCTACGTGAGTGGTTTGCCCGGCGCTGGAGGCGTGCTGCTGGTGCTGGAGGTTCTTCGGCTGCAGAGGGTGCTGCTGCCGCGCGTCCTGGAGGTGCTCGTGCTGTGGGTGCTGGAGCTGCTGGGCCTGAGGGTTCTCCTGGAGCTGGTGCTGCTGAGGGTGTTGGCGCTGAGACTACTGCTGGCGGTTCGACTGACAGTGCTCCTGGTGCTGCTGGGGGCTCTGGAGCTACTGGAGGTGCTGCTGGAGGTGCTGGTGGAGCGGGTTCTCCTGCTGGGGGTACTGGTGCTGTCCCTGCTGTTTCTGGCGTCGCCACGCGGCCCCGACCGTTCTTCGTTCCACTCCTGCAGCAGGTTCTTGGTCCTCCTCCTCCTCCCTTAGAGGGTCCACAGCCTGTCCAGTCCCAGTCACAGCTACAGCTTGTCTCCCCTTTGCCTGCTCCTTCTGCCTATACTGGTCCGACTGGAGGTCTTACTGAGCGTCGTGAGCCTGCGTCTCGTTCTGCGTCGCCTGTTCGTCCTGCATGCACTAGTGGCCGCGGTTCGCGTCAGCGTCCTCCTCCTGTCCATGGCACGCACCGGATGTCTCTGCGTCCGTCCACTGCTCCTTTGTGTGCCCCTTTACCTTCTCCTCCTGCTTCCTCTCTTCCTTCTCTTGTCGACCCGGAGTCGGACTCTCTTCGTGCTGCCAGTCCTACTGTCACGCGTCTCCTTGCTACTGCTGTCACTGACCCCTCTTTCGAGTCTTCTGCTGCGTCTGCCCTTGTCACTGAGCTCCTCGACTTTGCTGCGCGCTGTCGTCTAGACTACGCTGCTAGTCTTGTCGCTGAGTCTGAGTCTGCCTGTCCTCCGTCTGTCGGGGGTGAGTGTGCCCTTGGCACGGACGTCCTTGAGGACAGGCAAGAGGAGTTCCAGTGTCTGGCCGCCGCTTCACCTCATCTCGCGTCTGTACTGCTTGCCCCTGAGGGAGACCCTGATGCACTAGACATCCCGACTCCGCGCTCTTACGCGGAGGCGATAGAGGGTCCCTACTCCTATCAGTGGCAGGCAGCTATGGATGCAGAGATGGCTTCCTGGAAGTCCACAGGCACCTATGTTGACGCGGTTCCCCCTCCTGGGGCGAACATCGTAAGTGGCATGTGGATCTTCAGGGTGAAGCGGCCGCCGGGTTCTCCGCCTGTCTTCAAGGCGCGTTACGTGGCTCGTGGTTTCAGTCAGCGGCAGGGAGTTGACTACTTTCAGACCTTCTCCCCCACCCCGAAGATGACCACTCTTCGGGTACTGCTGCACGTTGCTGCTCACCGTGACTACGAGCTGCACTCTCTCGACTTCAGCACCGCTTTCTTGCAGGGCAGCCTGCACGAGGAGATCTGGCTGCGTCGCCCACCTGGCTTCACTGGGTCTTTCCCTCCTGGTACCCAGTGGAGTCTCCGGCGTCTCGTCTACGGTCTCCGCCAGGCGCCACGTGAGTGGCACGACACACTGAGGACTACACTGGCGGCACTTGGGTTTGCTCCTTCTACTGCTGACCCGTCG